GTTGTGCGCCCCTACGAGCTGGCCTCCGGACTATTCGGCGCTTGGGGCCATTTGGCGCTTGGGACTATTTGGCGCTTGGGACTATTTGGCGCGCGCGCGAGCCGGAAGCACAGGGCAGAGCCACGGAGGCGTCTCACAGGGGCACCCACAGGGGAGCCACAGGGGAGCCGCATATCCCGCCTCCCGGAGATTCACCCCCTGCTCTCCCAGACGGGGCTACTCACAGTCGTGAGGGAGGCTGACGGGGCCCCGGTATTGCTGCCAGCGCGAGCTCGACCACCCCGGAGCGAGGCCGCGCACCCCCGGGGGTGCACGACAGACTACGCACACCGGAAAGCCCCGCATGAGCCGCCACATGTCCGGCATCCGGGGCGTCAGGCCGCGCATGCCCAGCGTGACGGCGGGACACCGGCGCGCGCGCAAATGACCCGCCCTCCTGGACGCCGGGCCGGTCCTGAGACAGGGATGACTGGAGGACAGGAGGCCCCCCTCCCCCCCCGCCTCTGGTGGACTCCAAACACACCCGCCCGCTTGCTCACGCACACACAACACGCGCACGACGGCGAGGAGGGGCGGGAACGACCGAGCGCGGGGGGGCGGGGCGCTACTACAGGCAGGCGCCTACCACATTCCCGCGAGCCCAGACGCGCGCGCGGTGCCCACAGGCAGACGCCCCGACGCGGCGGGGGGGCGAGGGTTGCTCTCAAAAATGTCCCCCCCCCCCCGGCCGGCCGGCGCGAGGTGACTGTGGAGGGGCGACTGATGCCGCGCGCAGGCAGAGCCACTGGACGACAGGGCGATATTCCTCCAATAATATGTCGCATCATATGCAAGCTGTGAGAGCTCCAAACGACACACCGCATCCCCCATCCACACACACATCCTCGAGCATGTTCTCCTGCTGCGGCCCCAGGGCCTCGGCGGGGCGAGGGGCGGGGGGGGGGGCGGGATCACCACCGGAACACCGTGCCGGACGAATGCTCCGTTCTTGGGGCATCACGGCCTCCGCGACACCCGGCGCAAAGGCCAGCCCACCTCCCCCCCCCCCCCCCCTCCGATGGGGCCATTATTAGCTGGCGACATATTGTGGCATTCGGGGGGGCGATATCGACAAGTCTTTTCCCCCTCCCACCAATAGCTGGCTTCCACAGGCTGCCCCGGGCCCAGGGCACGGGGTAGAGTGGTCGTGGGAGAGCGGGGGGGGGAGGGGTGGGGGGCCGGGGCGAGGGGCGGGGCGCGGGGCGCCTGCGCGGCCAGGCAGCGAAGCCACGGCCTCCCGCCCCGAGCCGCCGGCACAGCCCGGCGGGGACCGTGCGCCCCGTCGTCGGCGCCGCCATCGCCGTCGCCCTGTCTCGTGGGGGCCCCAAGGGGCAGCCACCTGCTTTCGTGCCAGGCAGGACTCTGTCCGTCCGCTTCTTTCCCCGGCGAGAGCGGGCCGGGCCGGGCGAAGCGAACACCGCACGGACACAACCGCGTCTGCCAAAATCCCCTGTACCCTGTGATTTTGGCACGTCCTGCGCGGCGCACGCTCCGCAAGGAGGGCGCCACCGTCGGCCCCGCCGAACCCTCGGTCGCGTAGCCCTGACCCGGCCGGGGGCCGTTAGTCATTGATGGGTGACCCCGGGGAGAGAGAGAGAGCCGTATTACGCGCCCCGGGCCTCGTCCCGGGCGACATTCCCGGGGCGTCTAAACGTGCGCCGGGCGAGGGGCGCCGAGGGACTCGGGCCGGCCGGTGTAGCCTGCCGTCCCCCCCCCCCCC